CATCCATAGCAATACATGACCAAGACTTTCAGATTCTTCGTGTTTACTTGCGCGTAAAAAGCCTCTGCTACTGTGTCAGCCATGTCCATGCTGGAAGAAGGGAGCGATTATAGGGAACTGATCACTCCACTGTTGTCTACTTCCTCACAGCCTGCTGGTTCACACCAGCAAGGACCCTAATGTAATCCCTATTATCCCTTATAGTCACTATTACTGGGTGGGGGGTCCACCTAACGTCTTGCATATATAGAGCTAACTGCTGGAGCGCCCTTGAGTTGATCCTGGGAGCTTTCAGGAGCTCTGAGCACTTTCTAGATTTCAGTGACTTTGATGATACTCCCTGGTAAGCGCTTACGGTTTAGGATTTAGGGCTATGAAGGGCACGTCAAGACCTTAAATTGGGGCAAAAGCTGTTGTTTCGGCCCATAAAGCATAGTAAAGGCCACTCAAGACCCGCACCTTTTCGGAGCTTCTTGGGAAAAGGTCTGCCACCGCAATCTGAGAAGTTTGTTGATAAGGATCTTGTTGCATGCTGAGTTTTCCAATCGCTGAGGCAGAGTTTCTGTCCAATGCCTCGAACGGAACCATGCCCCTAGACCGTTAACTTCAAAGCCGGTAAATAAAATCATAATTTGTCAGCATGTTGCCATCTTTGCAGTGGTGGCCTTAGCTTTGCTTGTAACTTCCAAAACGAATTCCCTAAGTCCGCAAGCCAAGCCCCGTAGTTGCCCTCGATGGCAAGCCCTTGTCATACTCAGATGTCCTATAAACGTGAAACCAAGGATTCCGTTAAGGGCGTCGTTGCGCAGACTGGGAAAGCTGTGGGTCACTTCACCTATAGACCTTCCAGAGGCAGTTGCGGATGAGGGGTGGGGCTAGGGATTTGGAGCCGCAGACTGGGGCTGCATCTGATTTGGCCTAGGATTTCGAGGCTTCAAGGTGTAGGGTCGCAGTATACTGTGTAACTACACCCTACCCAAGGGCTCTTATGTACTTCCTTTCTCGGTGTGTGATTATCTGTGTCTTGGGTAGTCTACTACCCAAAGAGGAAGACACAGGAGGCTGTGGGTGAAGCAAAATCCCTGCACCGACAGACCTTGTTCGTTTGTACGTGAGCTATCGTGAAAACTCCTTGAAGGGTTATACAGTGCTTATATGGGGGACTAGACTAAGGGTTAGAAAGGGGGATACTAGGAGTTTAGACAATAGCTCATGTGAAAGACTTGGCGGAGGCAAAGCGGGCATCCCTTTGGCAGAGATCTCAACAAGTCAAGAGGCTGGCAATCACTTTGCCTTTTCAATATTGGGGTTATATAGGGATACTGGAAAGGAAAAGGGAAACGACTATTTAGGGCTTAGGGTTTACGGTCTAGTCCCCCTTTTGGGAAACTCCCATACAATTTCTAAGCCCACATTCTAAAACCCTACCAACCCGGCAGTCCCGGGTCGATTTAGGTCTAGGAGCTCTAGGTTGGAAGTTTGAAGTTAAGGGTTTAGGGTTTAGGGTTTAGAGGGCTCAGGGATTGGGAGTCTTGGTAGGAGGGTCTAGGGCTCGGAGCGCACGGTTTAAGATTTCCAGTGTTCAGGGCCCGCGCTTTTTTGGGTTAAGCTTGGCTTAAACGCGTAAAGTAATTGCAATTTAATCCCAAAACCCGCAATGCGCACATCCACGCAACGGGGAGGCTGGATATCTTCTTGTCTCACACCTGGCACACGCGCGGCTGGCGGAAGGCGCGCAGGAGTGATTCAGGCGTTGGGCTTGAGGTTCACCTGGTCAGAACAAACGCCCATACTATTCAGGGGGTCATATTAAGGTTATATAGGGGTTATAGAGGGATAATGGAAAAGAAAATGGAAACTACTACTTAAATGTTGTAGTCTATGTGGGGGTTGCCCAAAATTAGGGGTACCCTTTTGGGGGTCCCTATAATAAGGACTACAGTATATTTGGGTCTATATTGGGGTCCCCCTATTTAGGGAAACTACCATTTGAGTAAAAGGCTGAGGATTGAGGGCACTTGCGGGCTGGAGCTCCGCCAATGGCTGCGGGGCATTTCGGGGACTGCCACATAATTTGGAAGGACAATTTTGGCGGCAGATCAAGCGCCTTGACCCCAGTAGCTCCCCCCAAGTGTGCGTAACAGGATTGCGTGCTCCAAAGCCTACATGATTGAAGGTCCTCGCGCTGGTGGTGCAGCTCGGGTCCTACAACTTCTTGATCGGATGGCTGCTAGGGGTGCCTTGACATGTTTGCTTCCCTGATTTCTTTCCAGATACTAAACCTTTATGGAGAAATCACAGGCGTGATGGTGCAACTGTATCCTGAACATGAGGGGCTAAAGGGACCATAGTGGACAGCAAGCTTTTTTGAACTGTCCATCTGCAGCAGAAACCAGAACCTGCAGCATGTGTGCAAGACGTAGCTTTCATATTTGCCTGAAGACCCTGCATTGGTTCTGCACCCATGTCATATCTAAACGCGGTTTAAGATATTTGAAGGTGCTTGCTGGTGTTGTTCTGGACGCTGCCCTGGACATCCCCAAGATGGTGCCAGCAGGACCATTGGCGATTTGGGGCTCAGGGTTCAGGGTCTGATGTAAGGCTCAGCGTTGAAGGTTTACGGATGCTGGGACAAGAGATGTTGTTGTTGGAAAGTTGTCTCCTCCTGAACACGACCTTAAATGCATTGTCTGCCAGGGCTAGCAGAATGCTGGCAATCACAAGCCCATCAGCTTTCAACAAGATACGTCCTTTGAGAAAAGATGCTAGTTCCTTGGGGTGCAGAGGCACCCCTTTTGGCCCCTTGGTGTTTGAAAGACATGATTTTGGGAAACCGCTATTTGAAAGATGTGCGGAACAGAGAGAAAATCAGTTGGAAAGGTACAGCTTGGATTGGAATACTCATAAACAGCAACGGCACTTCCTGGTGCAGCTGCTTGTAAGTTATAAGGATGTGGAGCAATGCTCGTGAGGATCCTGACAGCAGCAGCAGTAGCAGCAGCAGTAGCAGCAGCAGCAGCAGTGGCGGTGGCAGCAGCAGCAGTAGCACCATTAGCAGTCGCAGGTGTCGCATTTGTAGCTAGTAGCAGCTGTAGCAGTACCGGCACAGGAGCAGTAATAGTATTACTACTCGTATTACTATGATTATTGCTGCTGCTGCTGCTGCTGCTGCCACTACTACTACCACGACCACCGCCACCACCGCCGCCGCCGCTGCCGCCGCCACCACCGCCGCCGCCGCTCCACCACCACCACCACCACCGCCGCCGCCGCCGCCGCCGCCGCCACTTGTATCAGTAGTAGCTGTAGTAGCAGCATTGGCAACCGTGGTAGCAGCACCACGATCCAGTCGTAACCTGGATGAGAAGGGTGATACGAAGCATACTGCTTCACTCCTGTCCTCAACGCTCGCCTGCAGCCGGATACTCATCATGCTAGCTACTCGAAACCAAGGCCCTTAGTCCAAAAAACGCCAGGACCGGCAGTCTGGATGGGTGGCCTTATTGGCTCGATTTTTGGATTGCTGGCCTCACCGTACATACCGAGCTGGGCAACATGTGGGAGGGAAGCTTTGTCTTGCACTGAGGGGCTGCATGATCCAAGGTAAAGGATTTAGGATACCAAAGCCTTATGTATGCAGGATTATGCAGGTGTACCAGTTGGAAAGTTCCGTGACAATGCCCAAACATAGACATCGAATATGCGTTCCCCCAGTTTTGGGAGAAGCTTGTAAGCCAGTAGCCGTATAGGTATGCAACATAGCCCTTGTGGCATGATGACCTAAACCCTAAACCAAATCTCAACCCAGAGCCCGACACCCTAAGCCAAGAGTCCCAGCAGTTTGGGGCTTGGAGAGGTCTGCTTTCAAACATTCATCTCATATAGAATTGTTTCCATCAGTAAGAATAAGGGGACCCCAAAACAGTGCTACACCCCCAAATACGTTATTACGGGAGCCCCAAACTGGTACCCTGAATTTTAGCAAACCCTAAACCTTGGACCCTGATTAGTAGCTTCCACTTTCTTGTCCATCCGTATCCCAAATATATCCCCAGTACCCCTACTTCTTGGGAAAACCCTAAACCCTATACCCCTCTAGATATATCCTTAAGAAAAACGCATCATTTGCGCGCAAAAAAGGGCCTGCAATGCGTCCTACCCTCTATCCTTATATACCCCTATGTAACACCGACATCCCCTTTGAAGGTATATAGTGCCCTTAAGTAGATAGTATATGGGGTATATGGGGACCTTAACATAATGTACCCAAAGCCATATTCTATCTACTCAAGCGGGTCTATACCCTAAACCCTAAATAGTAGTTTCCATTTTCTTTTCCACTATCCAATATAAACCCCATATTCTTTCTATTTAATGGGGATTATATCTTCTCCCTAAACAACCCTAAGCCCTAAACCCAAAGCCCTAAGCCCCAAACCTTAAACCCTCTTCTCAGGAGCCCAAAGAGATGTGCTTCCTGGACGTGGCCTGCATCAACCAAGCGGACCCAGCCCCTGGGATGCCACCAAAAGTGGGTTTATGTTTTAGAAGTAGGGTCTAGGGTTTAGGGTTTTGGGATTTAAGGTTTAGGGTTTATTTTCACTACTTAGGGTTTGGTGGCGGATTTGTGAGCTTAGCATTTCTGAATTTAGAAATTGCAGGGATTCAGGGAGTTTGAGAACCCTTCCCTAAGTAATGGTAAGTTTATGTGGGCCTGAGGGTTTAGAGTTTAGGGCAGTAGGAATATGATACTCAGAATAATATCAATATTGGTAGACCCCAAACCTTAACCCAATAATAGTTTGCCTAGGCCCTTAGTTTCGGGAATAGGCCTAAGGATTTAGTGCTTAGAGTAAAGGATTGTGGATTGAAGGCACTAAAAACCTGAACCTCTATATTCTTGGCAATGGTTTTGGTGACGTAGGATATTATTGACGAGTGTATATACATCGTGCACATCTTGGTGGACCAGAAGGGTGTCCCTATACTACCCTAAGGGTCCATGTACCCAATAATTGGGTACTTAGGGTTTTGGTAATAGTAATTGTAGTACAGGTTTTGGGTAAGTATATGATTATTGGGTACTTGGACCCTTAGGGCTACAGATTACATAATTTTGCGGCATGTTTGAGGGACACACCTTCCCGCTCAGTCCGCCCCACCAAGCCCCTGGGAGCAATGTCGGGACCATGAAGCGTTCCAACGAAAGCTTACGGAAGAGTGACACAATCGACCGAAAGCAGGTTGAGAGCATGGCAAGGGAACGGAACGGACCTCTGAAATATATTATAGTATATTATTGTATATCATAATCTCATATATATATGGTAGTATATCGTAATATGATATAGAATTTTTCTGTACTGGGAAGCCTGAGCCAAGTGCTTGCGGTTTGGGTTTCAGCGGTTTTGGGTAAAGAGCGACAAGTGAAAGAACCATTCGGTACAAAGGTAGGAAGTGCTGCTTTTCATCCAAGGCATCACAACAGCTGCAGCGTAAGTCAGACATCAAGTATCCTGGTTTAACTTACAGCTGCAGCTGTTCTCCTTATCTCCCGCTTATAACAACAATCAACCTGAGCCCTTAGCTTCTAGATTCTAGAGAGAACTGCCATCACCCTGGGGTTGGTGCTGCCGTTGCTCTCTGCTCAGCGACCGTAAGTCCAAATTCCTGAACATTGCAGCGTATCGGGCCGATGATGCAGTCTGCGGGGATGTCTTGAGTTGTTGAGGGCCCACATAGTAGCACCCTGGCACCCTTTTCCAGAAGTTGACTACAAGCAGTGCACAAGCTGCGCCTAACTGGGCCATAGCCTTGAGCCTTCTTGAGCTCACAACCAAGCTCCAGGACCTCATGACACGTGGCATCTACAGCCTGGGCGGTTTTCTGGCGGTGGCTTCGGAGCTACGCGTGCTGTGGAGTCGTCCTTACCTTACCAGACTCTTGATCTCGCTCAGTCCGTTTTCCCACTCAGGGTTTACGGAGTCGGGTTGAAGCCAGCATTTGTCCTGCTCTGCAAATTGTGTAGGGCTTACTGGCTAAGATATGGTGTTGGCCACTACTGGCAACTTCTGAATATGGGAGGATTCAGGTCCGGTGGTTCTTTTACTTTTCAATTGATATTATCTCCCTTTTGGTCCTCTCACAGACAGCTGCAAATTTAGACTTTTTGCTTTTCACTTGTCCGTTGAGATTATCTCCACTTGGATGCCCTCATGGACAGCTGCACTTTGAGGCTTTTTGCAAGTTGCATGTTTGATTAGGTTCGGTCTACCAAGAAGTATATAGCCTAAGTAATTATGGTTCCTCCGACTCGGCGATGGAGCTGATGGGCAGAGGATGTAGGGAAGCCTTCATCTTTTAGCATTACTATTACTATGACTATTACTACTACTTTTCCTATCAGTATTACTACTACTACTACTACTACTACTACTACTATTACTAGCGCTATTATTGCTTTTGTGTATTACCATTACTACTATTACTCGCACTATTATCAGTACTATTACCGTTATTCTTATTACTATTACCCTTACTATTACTATTGCTATGATTTATTATTAGTACTTTTACTGTCACTATATTTACACCTTGGCAACCCAAAAAGCTCACGCTGGTCTTGAGAGAAGGAGACTTGTCAGGGGTGGCATGAGTTTCTTCCCTTAGATATACTACAGTACAAGTAGTTCCCATTTTCTTCCATTATTCCTATATACCCCCAAAATAACCTCTATAATCGCCGTTGTTTCCTTTTTCTTTTCCATTATCCCAATATAAGCCGGGGTCTCCGGTCTTGCAGTTTGCCTGTGTGAAGCGTGCAGGTGCGCAGCTATCCAGTCATGAGTATGCAACATTTGGGAGGTATGCTTTTTGAACAGAGTCAATAAAGTCATTTGACCCCATCTGAGTGTTCAGATTGACGCAGCTCAACATGCGGTGATGATTGAAGATCATGAACTAATAAGTAGTTTCGTGCATTTGTGCATGCGTGAAAGCGGGACATAAAGACCGAAAATGAGCAAAACAGTGCATGGCTGCTCTAGGGTTCTCAGAACTTACTTACGCCGCACCTGATAGGAAAGTATGGAAACAGCTTTAGCAGGTTGGTTGCACTGTTTTGTGGATTTTGGTTTGGTATGTTTTTTTTTGTTTACATCCGGATGTGTGTTGCGTTGAATGCCCATTTGGGTGCCGAGTTGTTCTGAGAGTTTCGCTGTTGTATTGTTGTGCGGATTATGTTGCTGCTAACTACTGCTAGTTGTTGCGTGTTGGTTTCGGTTGCGCTTTGTGTGTGTATGTGTGCTAGCATTGATGCCTTTACGTTGTTCCTTTTCCTAAAGATTCTGCTTTCCTGCGTTCTTTTTGTCTTACGCTCCTTGAGCTTTCCTTCTCTCAACGGCTTGCACACGTCTCACATTGAACACTCAAGTCCCCATGAGGCGTTAGACATGTGTCCTACTAAGTAGCCTTGCAGTCTCCCCTGAGACCCTTAAAGTCTTTCTCGCTCGGGACAAGTACGGTTCCCTCAGGGATCTGATTTTGCAGAAGTTCCTTATCAACAAGCAGGCGTCTGCGTTTTGCATCTTAACAGTACACCCTGCACCGTTGACCCAGGATTGTGGTGTGTCTTCGAGCTTGCAGCTTTTCGAAAAGCCAACCCATCAGGAACGGTTTTAAGATGTGGGCTTAGTAGGTTTGAGTTTCAGGCATGCGGCCGACCTTAGGGTTGAGAGATTTCAGCTGAGATTAGAAATCTTGCTTAATGTGCAACCTAGGGTTCAGATTCCAGATGTCTTTGCTGCCCAGTGGGCCTACCGGGGCTTTAGGGCTTGGAGTTCAGGACGCATTGTTCTCCGTCCGCTCTTTGTTGAAAACGGCCTTGTCCTCGTAGTTTTCGGAATCCTGCCAGCAGTTTTGGAGGACTTTGTATATGCTTTCTTCTGTCATACGAAACTTTTTCTAAATTTGTTAAGACGTAAGAACTTGAAAGCTTTAAAGCTCCTGTGCAACACCTTCAAACGAGGCATCTACATCTTGAAAAACATAGATGAGTGGCGGTCCAACTATTTGGAGCCTCGTACTGCGCCTGCGCAAGCCTTAGCGGTGATTTCGCAGATCCCCAGCTTCGTGCTCTTTCACGTCGCTGGGCCAAAGTTGTCTAAATAAATCACGCGAAGCGCGGAAGAGTGATTGTTGTTGAAGTTGTTGCGGCCAGAAGGGGCTGAATCTCAACCGTACACCCAAATACCTAAACCCGAGTCGCCTATCCCCTTGCAGCCCTCATCTCAAGCACCCAGGCAATGCGCAAATTGCTGAATGACTCTGGGTTCATGAGTATCGTATTTGTTTTCATCTTTGAGACCGGTTTAGTGTTTAGAGTTTAGGGCCAAAGCAAGTATACTATACTTTATTTGAACTTACCCATAACTTACCATAACATACTAGGAAACAATAGAGCTTACATCATGTCTTTCGGAACAAGGAGAAGCATCAGCTTGTTAGTGAGCTACGTAATTTCGATTTTGAAAAAGTTGACTGCCGCACCGGAGAAGACAAGGAGTCAAAGCTGCCCTGAGAATCGTTTCCGCTAATGCTGTTTGGCTTAGGGTTCCAGATATGGGGATCTAGGATTTAGGGGTCAGCGCTGAAGATTGGACATTGCGAGCACTTGAACGGTACAGGAGTATATCCAGAATGCCATCCGATTATGGTATGGGAGCTCAGAGGCATTTACGCGACATGTGACTGGGCCGACGGGTTTGCAGCTGCAGGTTTCGCCACTTTAGATGATGTATCCAAGAACCTCAAACCCCAAAAGGGAAATGTAGCACAGTCTTGGGATTCGTGCAGCAGGAAGGTGAAGACACCGCCAATTTTTTGGTCGTAAGGTCTCTTTACGGTGCAGGGCGACTCAGTCTTCTTGTTGAGTATGCATCGGTCTGAAGGTGTATCTGCGTTCCCCTCAAACCCCTCTGCTTCAACGTCACCATGTTTTGATGCTCGCTTCCGGGTCCAACAAAGGTCAGGGGCCCTTTGGCTGACGAGCTCACGAATGATTTTTCACGGACCGATCTTCCTGGCAGCTATTGGCTGATGATGCTCGATCAATGTTGAAGGCATGTTTTACTGAATTTTACTTTCAGGATGTCAAGCCTTTAAGTCACAGGAGCCATCGTTGAATGTCTAAGCGATCTTTGCGAAGACTTAGGTTTGTAGTAGTGCATGGTAATATGCGGGGGTCTCAAATATTCGGGGTTGCGGATGTTTGAAAACTTGGATGAAGAGATTAACTCAGGATTGCGACGCCCTTCATCTCCTTCAATGTTGCCGAGTTCTGGGTAGAGAGCCAGCTTCCCACGTCCACCGAATCGACACTGGCCAGGTATCCAGCCTTGGAAAGGGTGATTGAAGACAGCATGTCCATATCTAGCATTAAGCCGCATGAAATCAGTCTGAAGATCCTGTAAGTCCTGGCTACAAACTTCTATCCGCGGAGGTCATTCTTGGTGATTTGCATTGGCAACAGTGCTCCTTGGTGTTTGCCGGCATGGTTTTCAAGTTAGTGTGAACTACATGGAACTACTGCATGACGTTGGTAGCCGCAGCAGAGGAAGTTTGAGGAGGCCTGACGCAATGTACGAAATTCACGAGCGATCTAAGCCTTCCTGTTCTGGTGTTCATGCTGTAGTCTTATACAACTTTGTGTGCTTGTTCATCCTAGAATGGTTTTATTCTGGTTGCTTCTTTTGCGGACGTTGTAGTCATAGTCCTGCTGCTGCCGCCGCTGCTGCTCCTGCTTCACCTACCACGACGAGGAGGAGGACTACTGCTGCAATGACGGCCACGGCGGCAACGAGGACGACGACGACTACTAGGCATACTTTTGGTATTTGACGACTCTTTTTTGTGTGTTTCTTTGACTGAGTATGACAACCGCTATGCACACTTTCATTGCTATTTGCAGCATTTCCTGTTTACGGAATCTGTGATTTAGTTTTTTATCCTCTTCCAGTTGCCAGTCAGGAGTTTTCGTCTTTTTTTGCATTGTTGCGGTCGAAGCAGCCCAAAGTACTGGTATTTGCAGTACATTGGGCCGTTGGTGCGTTTTCTGAAAGTCTGCTTTTTCTTCATGTGTTAAGAGCTTTGTTTTTGTGCCCCTGGAACAATTCACTGGTATTTGTAGGGTTTCGTAGCTTTTTCCAGCTTGAGCTATTTTGGCGCAAAACGCGTTTTTAGGTTTTTACGGATTTTCACAAGTTTTGATAGCTTTTTTTCCTGTTTGGGGTGGGGTGGGGGGTGTGGGGGGATAATTACACCCATAAGGACTTGAGGCATGGGAAGTTAGCAAGGTTTTTAGGCACAGCAAGATCCGAAAAAGACACCTTACACACCTTTGCAACCTTAGGCTAACGGGAAGGCACAATGATACTTAGCCTACACTATTGAGGATTGTAAGGGCAGCAAGAACGCCCAATAATACTTGGCCTACGTTATTGAA